CTCCTCCCCGAACCCCCACATCCCCCCCCCGGGAACCCACCCGGGCAGGCTGTCATTCTGTCCGCCAGCACCAGGGCGTCAAACACCCCCAGGTTCCAGGGCGTGAACGGCGCCTCCTGCTTGCGCTCCTGCGCGGTGCGCAGCGGCTGCCGGATGCGCCCCTCCAGCAGCCACTTGCCGTCCGGGTCCAGGTGGGCCCGCTTCACCTGGCATTACGGGCAGCGGGGGGAGGGCAAGGCGGGGGCGTCGGCCGGCGCGCCGCAAGCAGAGGGTTGCAGCAGAGGGCAGGGCGCGGCGGCCGCGGCGGCGGCGGCGGCGGTGGCAGGGCGAGCGGCGGCGGCGCGCGAGGCCGGGCCGTGCGCTGCTTGGCTCGCCTGTACGTCTGACCGCACAGCGGCGATGCCGCCATGCTGCGCCATGTGGGTACAGATGGCGTCCATGCTGGGCGAACCCACATACAGCCGCCCCGGGCCAAGCACGTCCAAGAACCTGCGGGAAACAGGCGCAGGCAGGGGCCGCCCCTGGGTGTGGCGTCCCTAACGCGTGGGGGCACCGAGGCGGCGGCCCCGGAGCTTCTGCAGGGCGCCAGAGCGCGCGCTGCCGCTGCGCGCCCGTTGTGGAAGGGGTTGTGGCTGCTTGCACCTCCCTTGAAAGCGCAAACACCAGCACCTACCGACAGCCGCCGTTTGCCACCCGCGCGCGGCTGGCGGGGCGGCCGCTGCAGCAGTTTGACTGCGAGGCCCCTGCGCGCGCCTGCGCCTCCCTCCCCCCCCTCCCTCCCGGCGACGTTGTGATGCGCGCACGCGCCGCCGCCACCCAGCCAGAGGGTCCCGCGCTCACCCCGCTGGCTGCCGGGCGCCGCCGCCGCTGCCGCCCTCGCCGCTGCCCGCCAGCTCCTCCCGGGGCGTGAACTTCCCGGTCGTCGCGCACAGCTCCCCCACCCTGCCGCCCCAGGGCGTCGCCACGCCTGGACCGACCACAGGCAACAGAGACGAAGAAAATATTTTGGGGCGGGGGTCTCCTCGCTTTGCAAAATTCACACCGCCGCGCCGACCCTCGACCACCCTGGCGACGGGGTGTCTGTGTGTGCGCGGCCGCCGGCTGGGACCACTGCCCTGCATTGCTGCCGGCCCGGACCACCCCCAGCCGCGACCGCCTCTTCCATCCGCATTCGCCTGATCCCCTGCCTCGCACCCGCGGCCCTGCCGGCCGGCGTACACTCCCAGCTTCGTCCGCGGCCCTTTCACATAGGCGCCGCAGCCCCAAAACATGTGGGTGGCTGCACCGGTGCCTTGCCCCCGCACCTGCGTCCACCCAGCTGTCAACCACCGCCCTGAACTCAGCTGACACTGCCCGCACAAACTGGCAGCCGTGGTCGAACTGCAGGGACTTCCAGGACGTGCGGCGGGTGGTCATGCGTCCGCCTGGCCGGGGAGGGGGGAGAGCGGGGGTGAGGGCGCCGCGTTCGCGGCACTCATCAAGACAGCTGCCAGCGACGGCGGGTTTGCGACCGCCTGGCTGCTTGCCGCTGGCAGGTTTGTAGCGCGTGCTGCACAACGTGTGACTCGTGTTTACTGCTCCAACCCCCATCCAGCCGCGGCGCCCTGAGCAGCTGATTGGGGCGTCGGGTGTCACTCGCTCTCGAGGAGTCCCGAGGAGCGAGGACCAGTGACAGAAGGCCCAGCACTTCGCACACATGCCTTCACAGCCTCCTACCCGGTGTTGTCTTTCCCATATCAAAAAGGGACACGTTGTAGCCATACGCAGAAAGGGTGGATGCGCAGAACAGGCCACTGACGCCGCCACCCACCACGGCCACGCGCCGCTCGCCGCCGTGCGCGTCGCCGCCGTCCGCCGCCAGCGCGGCCATTGCGCGTTGGTGCGAAGGCGCGACGTGCGCTGCTAGTTTATGAAGCCTTGCCGCACTGCGGGTGATTCGCATTCGCTTGGTGACGGAAGCACCAGCAGATCTAATTGATCTCGTCGCACAGCTGCTTTGAGGGAGCGAGCTAGAAAGCATCATTTACTAGTCTCATTCACCCTAGGTGCTTTGAGCAAATGAGACATCGCTACTAAGAAATTGACCACGCGCTGAACCAAATTGCGGCATCAAGTAGGCAACCTCAACGCGCGCTGCTTCGACAGAAGGGACTAATAGCAAAAGTACAAAAGTATACATCGCCCGCGCACGATGCCCGCCGCGGGCTGCTGCTCTGCAATGTCACTCAGGTGCCAGCAGAGTCTGCAGCATGTGCATGGTCGCAGAGGAATGTGCAGCTACATGCATGATCAGGGAAAATTCATGCACTGCACAGGCATCAAGGTAGCGATACAACATGCCCTGCCCCTGGTGCAGATGTTACTGGTTGAAGGCAGATGCAACCGCCAGAAGCTCATTGCGCCCGCCCGCCCAACGGCTATCCCCAAGGGCTATCAGGCATGCGGCGCAGGTGCCCGGCAATCCATGGATGTACACCTGCACCGAAGACATGCATCCCATGACAAACCTGCATACCAACGGGACCATGCTGCACTGGAGTGATGACGACTATTTGGTCAAAGACCTGCCATCCCTCCGGTCAAAGACTAGAAACCGCTGCCCTGTCCTGGGCAAAGGAGCATGCAACACGCTAAAACGCGGTGGTCGCCGGTGGAAATTGGATAAGCCAGGCGGCGCATGCGAATGCAAAACCCCAGCCGAAGCCTGGCAGCCGCTCCGGCGCCGCCGCGCGTAGCGGCTTTCGTGCACTCGGTGGGGGTAGACGCAGGACGCCCCGGCAGGACAGCGGCCCGGCGGCCCGCCGACCACCGCAGCCTGGCCGGCTCACGCGCGAAGCAGCACCGCGCCGCGCGCCTCGAGCGCCGCGAAGCATGGCGCGCGCCTTAGCGCCGACAGCGCCCCCAGGCTGATGCCTGCAAGCCGCAGCTCCTCGAGCCCCGGCAGCCACGCCGCGCGCGCCAGCGCGGCCGCGGCCTCCGCGCACAGCGCCGTCGCCGCCCGCAGGTCGAGCCGCCGCAGCCCGGCCAGCGGGCGCGCGGCCAGCTCGCCCCACGGCGCCGCGTCTCGCCCAAGGCCGCGGTTGTATGCGAGCCCGAGCTCCAGCAGCGCCAGCGCCCACGGCGCCGCCGCGAGCGGCGGCAGCGCCGCGTCCGTGATGCCGGCGCGCGCGAGGCACGCACGGCGCAGGCGCGGCAGCGGCGCGGCGGCCAGCGCGGCGGCGCCGGCGTCGCCCAGCAGCGGGTTTGACCCGAGGTCAAGATCTTCGAGCCCGGCCGCCCAGCCCGCGCCGGCCAGCGCCGCCGCGCCGGGCGCGGCGACGTGGTTGGCGGCGAGCGCCAGCCGCCGCAGGCGCGGCAGCGCCGCGGCGGCGAGCCGCATGGCGCCGGCGTCGTCGAGGCGG